CAGTAGTCAACCAAATTAGAATTCGACAAGTTATTCCACAGTTCGAATGCCTTCAAACTGCTTAACCATGTCTCGGAGCTTATGGTGAAAGCTTGCGTGTTCATAGATGTTATTAATTTTGTTGGTGGTTTTTTGGGCTTGAAGTTACTTTGAGCTAGATTTATATTGCCAAGATCGCCTTTGAGAAAACCGTTTTCTCTCAAAAATAAGATTAATCATCGATGTTGTTTGTTGGATTTGTGACAAGAAGGCCTGCGATTCAGCGCCACGATAAGTTGTGGGCTACTTTCCGAAAACTATTACGAGTCTGGCCGTCGTCATCCTGCCTTATCGAAACTGTTAAGTTCGTATCGTCTACCGAAAAATTTTCAACTTAGACATAATTCCACTCGTTATGTGAATGTGCATGTCGAAAAGCAACATTAAGAATTCTAATTTGTACTTTTTTCTGCTCTAAATCGGTTAATTTTCTCAGACGTTTGGCAGACTTAGCCAAACATGAAGGAAATCGCACTATAACTGCTCTACAACATCACTAAAGTGATTTCTCCCCAAATGTCGTCATTTTTATCAAATAAACCAGACCATACGCAATACTGAATTACGTATGGGAGTGTTGAGATTGTCTTCTGCACTGTCACCACATTATTCTTAATATCACTTTGTCTTAAGATTGTATTCATTCATTAAGTCAGTGTTGGTAAGACCCTTTGGGTATACGCACTTAACTTCCTTCTATCATTTCAATTTGTTTCACACTTTCATTTAATTTCCCCTCCAAAACTACTCAAAAGCCTAAAAAACTTTTCACAACTTTGAAGTTTGTTGAAGATCGAACGGCCTTTTCCAACAGCCATAAACCTAGCTCATTTTGCAAAAATGTGCGTAGTTTTGATCTTTATAAAGTGCTTCAAAGGGGTAGGAGGTGAAATTGCTACTACTTCAAGAACAATAATGGGGGCTTAGCAGGTAAGGTCTCCGACTAAAGCTTTACAATTTCCTTTGAGCGAGATGTCGGCATTGCCGGGAGTGCTATGAACCATTTGTATGTAGGCGATGGACGCGTCCTGCTGAATTTTTTTTACTGAAGCCGAAAACGCATTGATAATGCGTGTTTAGGAATTCAAGTAAACCTGACCAAATCGCGCCAACGACGACGGATTTAATGCTTGACGATGCTTGGTTTAACCAATGGGCATTGTATCAGTCAGAACTGTCCTGCCAGTGCATCCATTGTTGCGCTGCCGTGGACGCACCGCATTTGCAGTGTGCTGAGTACGAATAAATGTCGACACGTGTGCGTGCCAACAGATGTAGCGCTGGCCTAAGATCAAATATAAATAATGCGTATGCACAGCCCCATCCACCCCACCAATCTCGTCGCCCTGCATGTCGTGGTGCTGAAAATAGACCGATCATTCATCTTCGCCTATTGGAGACATCCGTTGGCTGCAAAAGCTATGTGCTGATAAAAGTCATCTCTGAAGTATCGTAACTTAACTTTAGTTTCGTATGTAAATGACTGAAGGTTAATATTTCAGAAACCTCAATTTCGTTACCGAAATATTTAAATGCGAACTTTGTGCGTCCAACTTAGAGCTAGTACATGTTATAATATGAGCTACTCTGAACTTCATCAATTTCGGCTTTATACCGAGTCGATGCTCAATAGTGCTCGGCGCATGCTGCCATCCATTATTGTCACATGTCATCACTCTACACAAACTCTGGTTTTGAATAGGGTTATCACTCAAAATTTTAAAATCCTGCTTTATCTAATTCCATTGAATGCTGAGGCAAAAGTACGGAAGCTCTTTCGGCTCAGGCTAAAGAATCTCAATAACGCATTGACCCTTTGATGGATAGAAGCACGGTTTAGAGCAAGAATTTCCCAAACGAAAGGAGGTTTTCGTTTTTCTGCAGGAAGTTAGTCACAATGTAATCCAGAATACACTTGAACAAAATGTACTTTCTTTAGCTTAAAGCGCTGCTATTGTCGGACTTCGCACGTATTTTTTTCATTTCTGCTTATTATGGGTCAGCGATCGTGCCTAGACAACGCTGCTGCAAAAAGCCTTGTGACTTCAATTTTGACCGAGAAATACTCTTGCTACATTACTGTCGGAAAATTTTCTTGCTATCAGTGGGGAAACAACTTGAATGCCGTTTATTGCTTTTAATATAAGCACACTAGGATTTCCCCTTGCTGCAGCGTTTTTGGCTTGGAGGCCCCATTTTCAATTTTCTCTTTGGTGTTTGTTCCTGACTTTCCAGTTACAGAGTTCGAAGTTCAAGGTTTTATCTGTTAACTGGAGTGCACAGCTTGGAAGAGGAAGCCTCACGTACTTTAGCAATCACAAGTGCTACTTTATTTTATATTTGGTGGAATGCGTGTAGGCAAACTAAGCACAGCAACCAGTCAAAATAATTATTCATACGCTACGCAAAATATGTTAGCTAAAAGTGAAACTTCCAAGTGGTTGTTAGCGCTTCCAGCCTATTACAACGATTTGAATCCTTCGATCATTTTGGTCTTGGAAGACGGTATTTCCTTTTTTGCCGTATCCTCCGCGTGGGCATGACGCACGTCACGTCAGAAGCGAAGGAAACACCAAAAAATGTCACCTGTTTTGTCAAATGCAATCTATGTCAGGCTAATCTGATGTTTAATTGTTTAACAAATGTGACGAATTTCATTTTATGCATTAACATTCACATAAGTATTCAAATTTTTCCATGAAAAGTTGACGCGTCTCTATGTTTTTTCTTCGCATTTTTGCAGCTGTGGAAGTTGGCTCAGGGTAGGAGAGAGGAAGTGGGAGGAGATGGGGATGAGGAGGAAGGGGGGAGTGCTGATTTGCTCAAATCGGTTGCCGCCGCCTACCCGGCCTCGAAGGCACGCGCTTTGCTCAAGGAAGCATTTAAAATCCGCCAACTCTCGCGGCGGCAAGTCGAGGCCGCTGTTCGAAAAGCAGCCAAATTGTGCCAAGGTTTGTTTTCATTCCATCACTCCGTTAACCGCATGGATCCATGTGGTGCTCATTTCGCACTCCAATGTGTAAATTAATTTGTCAAATTTGCGCGAGATTTTAAAAGTGAAGTAACTCACTAGTGGTGACTACCATTTTCGTAATGATTCTAGGTTGAATGTTGTGTTCTCTTTGATTAACTCCTCTCTTCGTCAGCCGTTGATCGGAAGTTGAATGATTGAGCATACTTTTGGGTTCTGTCTGCAGTATATATTTCCCGCCGGACATCTTCAAACCTTGTGCATGCACACATCTCCGCCTGAGAGGTTAATGCTTCTATTTTCTAAAGCAAATACGGCATACATTTATGACACTTATTTTTATTGTATTCAGGCAGTCATGAACCATCTATCCATCTATCTAGTCAATGTATGTGACAGTGAATTTTTTAATTCAGAAATTTTTTTCGCATTCTGGTGTAGCAAGCTAATTAATTTACTTGTGACAAGTTGATATGAAATTATCGTGCATTCTGTTTTGTTGAGAATTAGTAAACTACAAAACCTAAAAAAGAGTTTGCAGCTTTGGTGCTAACTTGTCAGTACCTCACTTTTACCACAGGCGTTAGTTTCCATTTTCTGGTTACCTGCGCATCCTTTTTTGGATAGGAAATAGGTTCAATTGTTTCACGCCTTTCCTCTAAGTTATTCATATCCACACTGCAAAAAGCGTTAAAACTGGTCAAAATTGATTCCTAAAAATGCTAAATTTCTGCCATTTGGTGGTAGAAGTACCATTTGACAACCGCTTCACTATAAACTTCAATTCCTTTGTTTTAGCAAGATATGGAAACGGCGCGCCTTCACGGTAAGCTTGGTGCCCACACCACTGATTACTCGCTCCTGCTAGTGTTTGCACATTGTCTAACGAAACTAACTTTTCACCTTTGAATAGACCACTCGTGCGGTTAAGATCTAGACAACTAGTGGTACGTTCGACGGATCCTTTTGATGAGCTTAAAAATGGAAGGGCACTTCTGTTCTGGAGGTCCATTTAAAACCGTTTTCCCGTTCTTCCGTATAATTTCACTTGTGCTCTGTGCTTTGTACAACCTGTCTAATCGAATTGGCTTTCAAAAGGAAATGTCTCTTGTTCACTTTCCCCTTTTAACAGCACTGCATTAGTTCTGTTAGCTTGCACCTCCATTCCTGTCGTCACGTGAAGAGAGGCTGGATTACTGCATCGTGGAAGGAAAAATCATCCTATTCATGTCCTTATTTTTGGCCTCAAAAACACAACTATCTAGTAAATGTTGGGCACCTTTTTACTTTTCTTATGAATCACTCATACTCCTGTCTTTTAGAGTGGCTCATATTCTTACGGAATACTCTACTTTTAAGTGAGGTGAAATGCGGTAAAATCGTAAATGATGAAGATAGGCTTTGATTGCCCTTGAGAAAAGTGCATCAATTGAAGAAATGTAGATTTCCATGGTGCATTTGAGCAGAATCCTCAAGGATAGAACGGCGAAGCAGATGGGTTGGATGCAAGGCACGTAAATCGAAAATCCATGATTCCTCCAATTTGCGAATCCATTACAGTCAGGCTTTTGGGGGAAAAATCAATGCGAGTCTTGATTTTCCTTTCAAAAATAATTTTATCCGTCCTCATTATTGGAGCGATCCGTGCATCCACAGCCGATAAAACAGTTTCCAGATATCCTTGATTTGTAACAACTGAAATTGGTCCCAGGCATTTCGGAGTCGTGCATTTGTGTTGCACCTTTTCTCCCCTATCAATTGGATTTCACTGTCCACGTTTTCTGTTCTCCTTCAACCAATTACTTCCTTTTGTGGAAGGACGTTTGTGTTGCTACGTTTGGGCATAGAGGAGTGTAGTGAGTAATTTCTCGCCTCACCTGAATGGCTCCCCTCTCTGCTCTGTGCTCCTTCATCCTCTCATTGGTCAAGGCGTGTCCGGAAATGCAATTTTTGCTCTGCGGCCGTGCCTATCAACGCTACCGGTCGTGCGCTGCCTCATTTTGGTCAATATTTCTAGTCCTCCACTACTTCAGCCTAAAGTGAAACTCAACCAACCGATTTGTTTCATTTTCTAAGTAAATTTATCTTCCCTAAATCAGAACAAATTTAAAACGTCTAAATCTGATTAGTGTGAAGAAGAAATTACGTCTGGTTGCTTTGTAACTCTGCCCAAGTTCAACTTACATTCTGCATTCGAATCCAAAGGTTGAGTTTCTTTATTTTTTTTTTGAATTTAGGGAAGATGTTTTTCAGTTATGTCGCTGACATTTTGGCCATTCCTTGAAAAAATCGCAGCATCAGAGTTCCTTTTAAACGAAATTGCTTCTTTTTAGTGGATTATTTTGTATCATAATGCCCTCTGATAATGTGACACTTTTTCCTTTGCATTATCCTTGGCTGAAATTGATTGCTTCTGGTTGGATTTATTTGTACATTTCACACAAACTCATTCTACCTTACGAACACGAAATTGCCTTCCCTTCAAATTGCGGCTGGACTGTTGCTAATTTCGATGCAATGAGCTTCATTCGAAAATACAATGCTCCACTTTTTTGCTCACTTGGTGAATTTCCAATTATGAACACAACATACCATGCTCATTCGTCTAACTGTGCCTACTCAAATAGGTGGTTCCGGAGTATTACTTCGCACTTTAAAAGCACTTTTATAATTCAACCATTTTTCGGTCCAAAATGTGCCTTTCTGTACATGATTTCGTGCTCGTGGTACCTTTCACCCATCCCAACTTCCCGAATGTCGTCCTATCTTGTGCGATAGATTTAAAACATTTAACACTGAATAACAGTGCTGTTTGTCAACTTTAACTTTTAAACTTCTGCATAATTTGTTGTTTTAGTAAAAACACTTCACCCTTCTGTTCTACTGCTTAAAGGTTTCTTGTCTACCACTGTTAAAAGTTGTTTTAAATGTGTTCCTGAGTCACCTTTTGTTCTGATGAGCACCTTGACCAATTCAATGATCTATTTGTACGTGTCTTATGACTACGTATTTCATTCGACCTCACAGCATCAAATGGAGGTGTAGACATTGCGGACAGCCTTGTAATGCCGTGCGTATTGCCAGGCCAGCGTACCTTCACTGCGTACAGCCAGGTGAGGGCGGAGTTCGAGGCACGTCGAGTTGCTGCGGCCGCCACTGCTCCTGCCAATAACCTTGCTCACGTCAACGTCTCTAATCTGGCCAGTGCGGAAGAGCTGGACTTCCTGATGCAAGCCGTGAGAGATGAAAACATTGCACAATTTTCTTTGCCCAAGGTCATCTTCTACACAGAACGTGATGGTTGCTCTTTGCGCAGCCTCTATCGCCTATGTGGTCTCCATGCCGAGGCGACCGGTCGCCCGCAAACCATCCTTCTCGTTGCTACAGCCTCGAGGGAGGGTCTCTTCGGCGCATTCGTCACCCATCGTTGGTCTACTGAGGAGCGAGGCTTCTATGGCAGTGGAGAAAGCTTCCTTTTCCGTCTGCGACCCACTCCCGAAGTTGTGTATAAGTGGAGAATGTCAAGTGCCTTGGAGTACTTCCAACAAGCGACGGAAAGTGCTCTCGAAGTGGGCGGCGGAGTAGACGGAGGCCCACCAGGTCTACGACTGGATGCAGGATTGCAGAATGGACAGTCAGGACCCAGTCCCACCTTCGGCAGCGAATGCCTAGTTACTGCACCGAAGGACCGAATCAACGAGGGTCGTTGCAGGAACGAAAAGGGTGCTGAATACTGCTCCTTTAACGTGGCTGCTGTGGAGGTGCTAGGATTTGTTTGTTCAAACTCCTTTTTGGCTTAGATTAACAATATTTGCTTGCTCGCATGAACGGATGGCTATTCTGCTTCTTTATTTTCTCTCAATCCTTGTGGATCTCCTTTTCCTATAGCTTCATCTTCAAGATATGTTTGAGCGGATCTGATTGGGTATAATCATTTTTTTGGGGTGGTGAATCCATTTTTAAAAATACTACCAGCTTTTGGTGATGAATTCGATTGTCGTAGTTGAGACCATTGTCTTATTGATAGCAAAATAACTAGTGGAGTAGTCTCTATCATAGCTATTTCCCAGGAGGATAGTCTGGCTTGTTGAAATTCAAGATTACATCATTAAAATTTCGAAGGCGGAATAGTGTGCAAATTCGCTAGTACTACGGAGAAGTGTACGTGGTAGCGTGTTTGGTTGCTAGGATTCGGAACCCCGAATGGTCGAATTGAGATGCAGTAAGGGAGGCGATGATACTTTGCAGAAATGTGCATAAATCTTCAAATGAGAGGTAACGATACATGTTCAGTTGCGTGATTAATGTAAACGTAACTCATCTTTCGAGAAAATAAGCAAATAAACATGTGAACAAGTAGCAAAACAATTTACAGTAAACATTTGCAAAATGTAAGACTTAATATGGTTAAGTCAAAGTTTCATCGACATTGAACATTCGCTGCTATCGTAAAAAAGTTTTTATTTCCGTGAACATACATAGCGTTGCGAATCGATTTTAAAGCTGCATCAAAATTATCCTGAATTTCAAAATTTTGCATCTTCATATAAGATAACTAATAAGCCAAACCGCGTTGATGTACCTGATAATAGCATTTTGTTTTAGTGTTGTCTTTCCGTGGTGAGTACAAAAGTCGTAGACCTTTGGCTCATCTGACAAGCGGGGAGGTTTTAACCATGGTCTCCTATCGGAGGTTTCCTGAGGTTAGTATCGACGTTGGCCTCCGAAATACAATAGTCGCCGTTTTGTCTGGCATCGTATTTTCGAGTGGTTGGTGGATCATTATTGATGCTGCTGCATGCTATGGGCCGGAGTCGTTGCCCCACCCAACGCATGCGATCGGGGCTATCGCTACCATAGGATTTATACTTCTCAATATCATGCCTCAGCACACGGTAAGAATCGTGCCTATTTATTATGACACAACTTGATGCTATTTTGCGGCATCTTTTCAAGCGTCTCTCGAATGGAACCAAGTGTATCAATAGAGTTAGTTGTCAAGCCACATCATTAACCCCGTTACCCTTATACCCGAATGGCTCATTGGTTTAAGTTTTGCTAGATGATATTGCAGGTTGGTGAGTTCCAGAATCGAACACAAATTGTCCATACACTAATATCTAATTCCCTACTGCCATATTCTTTACTAGTTAACTAGCGACATTGAGGACCCAAAGGCATGCGCCCTGCTGTTCGTAAGCGTGCTCATCAACTTTACAACTCTAATTGCTGCTGCATGGGTGATGTTCGCGTCATACGTCACAGGAAACATCAAGCCTGTTTGGCCAGGTGTGGCGCTCTTCCTGCAGAATTTCCTTATTTTTATCTCTGCCTTCCTCTTCCGCTTCGGGCGATACCACGAGTCATTTGCCTTCTGATTGTCAATCCTACTCCTGTCACTACTCATATTTTGTCTCCTTTCCTGTGACAATTGAAACAGTACTACACCTTTCAGTAAGGCTAACATATCTGGATGAATTGAGATAGCCAGTCACTGGCTTCATATAGTACCCCGATATTACCTTTAGCATTGAAATACAGGCCACTGATACAGATTTTGGAAACCGTTTCCACCCTTATTGCCTTGAGAGGGGGACCGTTATCAACGTCCTAATTTCCCAAATGCCGTTCAGCTCCACTCTGCAGATCGAGCACGAAGTAGTGCAACTACAGACGCATGGTAACTTCGATATCCCTTCTAAAGGACGACCGACAAAAACGGTTTGCCAGAGCCAGAATTAACTATCTGTAGGGCTTGCACGCGGCAGTTGTCACAATCTCTTTACTTGATAACGGGCGCGGTTTGTTGTTTTGTTGATTGCAAAACCAGCATACAAGTGAGCTTGTTTAAGTTTCGCATATTAGTGGCTGCATTGAGGGTGGCTAATAAGCTCGGTTCAATCAATTAATTATTCCCGCAAACAGTAAAGCCCGGCCGTCGCGCATTAATGGGGAATAATCATCGTTTCTTATGGGTTATTCGAGGCGGCTAAATTTCACGAACTGGGTATTCCCCCACATATGAAGTCGGAATTGCAAATAACATAGATTTTGAGGCTTCACAAGTATTAATTGCTTCTACATAACTTGTGACAGTAAAAAACAATCTCCATTCAATACCACCAACGCGGAAAGGGCGTCTCCTCACAGGAAGTCGGAGTCAATCTGTTGAATCGACATAACTGGTGGGAACAGTAGGAAGGCCTCTGTGAGGTATCAGCAACATGGTTAAGGGAATACCACATCAGAAAGGGATTGAGCAACTCATCCAAACATTACCTACCGTGGAAAGGGTAGCGCCTAGCTGACTCTATATCACCCTCTTCGCCAGAACCATGCACCTGAAAGGGGCAAAGGGGGTTACACCACTGATGATAGGGGATCACTTTGTTGAATTACCGTTTAATAACGTGGGTTCCTCGTCTACCGTAACAAGTGACATCCACTAATCACGGTAGTTACGCTACCTACCTTTATTGTAGAAACTGGCTTATGTTATGATGATGGAGTCAGCGTTTTACGTACTTAAGCAATTAAAAGAACAATCATATTCAATTACAGTAACATCTAAGGAGGAATCAAATAAGGCATAACCGTTCCAAAGTGCGGGTGAATAATGGAATTTTCGGGTTCAACCCGATGAGGAACACAAATATCAGACTTCTGAGCGGCGGCGCGTCCGTAAATGCCAAAAGAATTAAATCGAGGCTAGTTCAGCAAGTGGGCAAACTTGCATTACTGATGCTAATGTATAGCTCCTCTTTCAGCATTTCCATAACAACTACAACCGCCACCACGAATAGAAATTCTGCTTCGATTAACAACCTAAAAACTAAACCAAATGAGGATGTTGATGGGGCAAAAGGAAGGCCAAATCCAGAATATTACGAATAACAATCCTGAAACTACAATAGAGATAGGGGAATGAAATTAAACAGCTTACTGTGGCCCCAGTGATTTCACCGCACCAAACAATATTTAGAGCTGCTCGATGGTCAGTCAAGAGGCCGTTAGCTTGACGGACAAGTTTGGCGATTGCCACAGATTCACCACACCGCCATAATTCCTCAATAAGGGCTCCAATAGTTTCTAGGTGAAAGAAACAAAGATTAAAAGAAATATAAATGAGGTTTGGCATAGTCCCACCGAAAAGACGTTGACAGGATGTTATGGTAGTATGAAGCACTTGAATAAGCGCTACTTCCTCAAACTTGCTGCCTCGTTTTGTGGACCATTTCTTGCGTACGCGTTTCCGACGGTTCTTCTGTGATCGCCTACAAAAAGGAAGAAACATGATGTCTAAAGAGGTTCCGAGTAAATGTAATAGAAACTACATGGCACAAAATGCCAGCAAGATCAGGAATACATCCAAGGAAGCCATAAACTTTCCCAATGTATTTTGGATGTCCTAATCTTGGTAGTCCAAAAACCAACCCGGGGATCATAGCGAAAAGAATGCTCCGAACAGCTTGTAGAATAAATGAGTTAGAATAAGTAGTGATCCAACGTGTACAAAATTAAGTTTCACCTAGGCAGTGATCAAAGGTTTTCATATCTTTCACGCACCCAAAGCTGGAAAAAAAAAGCATTTAACCTGGTTGTTCATCTTGTTGGAAAGTGATCGAAAGCCACATTACATGTTCTGCTGCAAAAAAAGCATGTTCAAGCTAGAGGAAGACAAACACAGCCTATGCTAGGAGCAAAAACAAATCGCATTGGAATTAAAATGTTAAAGCATTATCATTTCCTACCCAGAAGCCTTGGAGAAGGAACTAGCATGACTCCCCGCCGAAGTTACACTGATGACACTTCCAGTATCGGAGAAAAGTTCGCTCTCAACGTTATCAAAATCTGCAAAACAAGTCCAATAACCCTTATCAGGTATTAAGAAAGGAGTCTTTCTAGACACAGCATTTGCTCAAGAGCACAAATAAGCACGGCTATAAATACATTTACTCTTCCGTCGAAAGAAATTGCATCGCATTAAAATGTTTACCAACATAGAGCATTACAATACACTTTGATGTAAATTTCTGCTGCTGTAATTTACAGTTGAAATCTCACTAACAAAAACCATTTAAATCAATCAAAACTCAATCAACTTCTAGTGATTTTGGGGTCAATAACCTCCAAAAACTTGGTATTGACCATGACAATGGCTAAAGCGCATACTTTCGTCAGCTGTCCTGAAAGTGGAATTCAGCATTCTCGCATTCTGCTCTGCGCGGACCTCAAGGAGACGCTGAAAAGTTGTGCGGAAATCTTCCGCCTCGATGTCCAAGCGAGCAGCAACATTTTCATAAGCTTCGAGAGCACTTTTTTTGAGTAGTGCTAACATCGACCCAGTGTCGGCCGCAAGCTGAGCCTTTGACCGAAAGGCGTTTATAAGCTATTTTCTTCATACTTAGTTGTGTCTCACGACACATGCATTAAAGAAGGGTGATATTGCATGAGGGTGATGGAAAAGAGAGCCTCGTAGGGTACTTTAACGTACTGCGCTATCCCAGCGAACCCAAGGCAATGTATTGAAAGATTGCCTAATTAACTGTGTGACCGATTATGAATAAAATAATGAGTTCTGCAGATCTTAGCTCTAGACAAAGCAACGGCATACATAGTGTTTGAATTCATGTGTAAATTTAATACAACAAATAACCCGCATATTCTTTCAAGAAACACGAAAGAAGCACACTTGGCCATAAGTGCATTAAATTATGAAGCCAACGCAACCTCTGCAGTAGCCTTTGAATAAAGTAGCCGATTTCGTAAAAAATTGCAGACAAGTCATCATAGCTCAGCTCGGAAAAGAATGAAGAGCACATTTTCGATGGAAATGAAATTGATGGTTCTAGGTGCGACATAAACGCAGAAAGCAAGTTATAAAAAGGCATTTTCTGAACTACATATAGTGTCCAATTTTCAACATCAGGTAAAAGGGGTTCGCAGATTGCATCGTGAATAAATGATGTCGTAAAAATGCAATTATTTTACGGGCTTACCAGTCTACGGGCTTCCAACCAGAGACCACCTCTAACAGCCACACTGACTGCACTCTCGTAGTCCTAGAAGGCATAGGAAAAAAGAACAATTCTCATAAGAGAAAAGGGTAGGCACTTCAGAAGGGGAAAAAGGAAGGCAATACGTACATGCAAGCATTCCGAATAGATCGACATAGCCTCTTCAAACCGACCAAGAGACGTGAGATTATCTAGAATGAAAGGTCCAATTCATAAATAAAAGAACACACAGTGACAAAATTAATGACTTATTTTTCTGTTTCGAATCTGTAACGTTCGTCATGCTCTGGGTGAACATGTTGTTTTCCAACCCCGGTGTTGGGAATTATTCTTGAGTGAAGATCCAGTAAATGCGCAAAAAACTGCAATTAATGATAATCTTTTGAAAGATTTGCGACTAACATTCTCTATAAGGCTACATAATTAAAAGAAATTCAGTGACGTTTTCAATTTAAGCATAAAATGCAGATGATTGAATTCGACGTCTGATCAAGTGAAGTGTGCAGCTTTGTACAAGAGATTTCTCAAGATTCCTTTTACATTGAATTTAGGCAAGATTACGGTAGAATAAATAACGCAACTAAATTCCGCGGTTCTAAATACAGATAAAAAGAAAATAGACCAAAAAATGTTTCTAACATTGTAAATCAAGTGATTCCCTATACAGCCCCTCAAAAGATGGAATGGTAATAAGTCCTACTCACTAGCCAGACGTGAGGCCTGAGAGCGAACATCTTCGACAGAGAGAGCTTCCCCTTCCTCCTCTCCTGTAGTTGAAGCGGATGCAGCACATGCGACAGCAACACGCCAGCGGTAAGAAGAGTTAGTGGAAAGGAAAAGATGGGCGGCAGAGGCAAAGTGTTTCGCGCGCAGATGCACCTCTCCAGCCGTAACAAGCCGCTGTGACGCCACCAATTCTTCCGCCCACAGCCTACTGATCTCCTGATATTCACAAAAGACGAATCTTACTGCCTGCCTATACTCAAGCTTATTCCCACCTCAGTAATTTTGGCATGACTAGTGACTTACGATTGTTACACCGCGATAGATTTGACATAGAAAAAAAAGATTTTGCAAATATTCCACACAGATTCTTACAGCCTACTAATGCAGCATAGCCTAAGTAAAACCCAGGTGGAGAAGGAGATTTCCTAGCTAGAATGGAAAAAGAGGGTGAAATGTTTTCAAGATAGTATGGTCACTTGTCGTAAAGAACCAATAATATCATGCCTGATCTTGGACTCACTGAGGTCTCCTATTAATCATTCGTCTCATACTTTTATGATTCCTTCAATAAATAGGACTATATTGAACATCAACTATTATTGTGTTTAATGGTCACAATCTACATCTATTTGAATCCGAAACGGTTTTAAAAGTACAAGATAATGGAAAAGTAGAGACAAACAGAGAATTGCGAAGTTCCCGGTTCGAGTAAATCCAGCGCCTGTGAGAAGAGCTTTTGGTTCTTCACGAGCTCGCAAAACTCCCTCCAATGGGCCAAACCTTCGCGCATAAAAGGAGTTTTGATAGAAGCGGATACCAACGAAAGCCGGCATGGATAATTTTATTCACCTGCCGAATGAAAGCCCTGTAGGGCTCTGGAGTAGCGATGCAATAAAATGTCAATTTGAGCGTGCTGGAATGAGGTGTTGGCTATGTCATCGTCGCCACCGTGTGTGCAAAGAGCCCGTAGTTGCTGAAGACAGGGCTGATACTCCTTGGGATCCAATTGGGTTCGTTCAGCCATCACTTCAGCTAAGTCGAGATCGTAGGTGCCCAGAGCGGTGTGAAAAAGGTTCACGGGAGAGACGTAGTACTGGAGTTGACGCAGGCCCTGCTCCCACACATCCACATTACCCTTGTCTGAAAGGAGTAAAAAGAACAAACCTCACTCTCAGATAAGCGATTGACCCCATCAGAGCCGGAGTAGAGAGGAAATCAGCTGCCGTGTTAACCAATACTTTAACAGCCAAATCAAACAATGAACTTATTTAGCACTAGACTTTAAAAGCAAATGCCATGGGCGGGGTGATTTTTGATTTGGGAAAGGAATTTAACTTGCAATTTGGTGTCAGTGACTAAAATAAAAATAATTGCTAGAGTATGAGCTATAAATCTTTAATTTTCAAAAGGAAATTTATAAATGGGATACCTTTGAAATCCTTGAGAATAGCCAAGCCCTTTTCCACCATTTGAGGCCGCATTTTCACGTAACAAGCGAGAATCGGCAGAATGAATCTAACAAAGAAAACGATAATTGGGAAGAAATGTGTTTAGATGTTCGATGGAAATTAAGACAAGAACTATATATATGACTACTCCAAATGGAAGGAAGTTATTCACACTAACGAAAACATACAAATATCCCCTGAGAATTCCGCTATTCCGATTAGTAGAACATAGTTAAAATAAATCAACAAGTACAACATTCACCACGATGACATTTGATTTACTTTTCGGGTTCAGGAAGCATAGCCTTGAGGAGGGCTTCACAGACATTATTAACTTTCCTTGAAGAATACGGGTCAATCACTGGGGTACGAGAGAGATAATTCGAAACTTGGGATGCAGATTGGGCGAGAACAGTTTGACCAAAGGGTTGCTTGCTCCCAAAGAATTTGCTGTACTCCGTTCTGGTAATATCCTCTTCACTGTAGGAAAGGAAACAGCACTCGAACTAGTATAAAATTGCATAACTGTAAGATTTTCATCTTACTAAAATAAAAAGAAATAAGCAAGTTCATGCACAATTTAACCACGAATAATATAGGTTTAGCAAAAAGAATTCGAAAGATTTACGCCTTACGAAATGCACCAAAACAAGTAGATTACATCTCAGCATAAAAATTAAATAAAACCGACCAAATTACTAAATACATCAATCCTGCAACTGTTGTACTAGATTACTCTGTGAAATAGAAGTAGCTATTTAATTGTTTTCCTTCCACCGCAAGCTTACTTCAGGTCAGAGACGAGGAGAGTGATGTGTTCAGGCGAGGCAACTTGGTGCACAAAAGTGGCAACGTTTGAGAGGAATTTGTGCGGATCGTAGTCGTGGAGGAGGTTGAAGTTTATCCGATGACGGCGCATCGTTTCTATGGCATCTGCATGATGCGAGCTGCGATAAAAATAGCAGAATTAAAGGCATAAATAAAACGTTGTTAGTCTACTCGTTTTAACAAAAAACTAGGTTCAGTGGAATTTTATATCCATGTGTATAATAACTTAAAAGGCTGAGCAGATCGCAGAAATTTGTGAGGTCACTTCATGCAAAAATAAAGAAAGCCTTATAGCAAATGTGACTTGACGCTTAAAAAAATACTTTGTCGCGTTGGGTGCACGAGGTAAACAACCAAAACCAACTACGTGCATATTTGCTCACCACGCAAGAGCTTGCATTCATAAATGATTTTAAGCAGTAAGAGTACCAGGAGTGAAACAACTACTACCGTCTTAAGCTCGGTGGTTGCATGGGGTTCTAAGTTAATATGAACAGATGCTATCCTTCAATTCACTTTTGCTCGGCTGACCTCTCAGTTACGATGACCAGTGAACGAGGCAACAATTACTGCCAAAACGGAAGCGAATTTCAATTCCTTATCAAAATTTCGCCTCCTTAACAGTCGCCTGTACGCAAATCCTCATCAGTATGTTAACCCTCACGCCATTAAAGGCCAGAAACTTGGGGCAGAGGTAAACAATGAGGGCACCACAAAACACTTTCGTTGAGGCATCTCGATTTTGGTTGCAGCTTCATGAGTAATTGTAGTTATTGCATTTAGAGCGAACCAAGAAATTAAGTTTCTTGAGACTAAGTATGTCCTGGTTAATGATAGTGATGACGATTGCTATGAATTTTTGAAACGGCACCATCGTGAAGTGTCCAAGGTTTTCATCGTTAACTCTTCAATGTCTACCAGAATAAAGGCCAAAATGTAAAAAAACTGTCAAAAATCGTCTTAGTTAAAGGTCAAACTAAGCATTGTTCCGAACTATTTTAAAACTAAGCCTGTGAATCTTAACACTAACTTCACCGGATCTCATATACCAAAAGACATGCGAAGGACTTACCTATCGAAGATCGGTGCAAGACACTTAAAGACAAGAGAACGTGGGTGAATTTCCTCTAGATTTCCGCGAGGCATCTGGAGCACAACCTTGGAGCCACGCGCCACTGCGGTCACCAGACGCGCACCCGATTCGAGAGGTCGCAGTCCAACGCTATTGCTACCCAGCCGCTTTTTCAGGCTCTCCAAGACCGAATGAACTAAAATAACCAGATAAAATGTGCATAAATCGATTTAGTAATGACCATCATGCCGTGCATAGAAATACAATAGCCAAAATAATATGATAATGATATAACAACTATAATAAGTAGTCAAAAGGTCTTTAACATGGGACGAACCTCCCCATTGAGATGGGAAGGAAAATGCTGCACACCAAACAACCTAGAGACGAAAGTCCGTACCCCATAAACTTCCCCAGTTTTCATCTGCAGTAGTTCAGTACACCCCACACTTACATTCTGTAGATTCCAATGACAAGGGCACGGTAAAGAGTTGGTTTTCCAGACTTGTGACAAGCAGGAAGTCGGAATGAAGCACGAGAGAAGAGCAAGACCGCATTACGCACTCGCCAGTTACTGTTGCCCTAGTCACCGATGTCGACCAAGGTAAGGCACAGAGTTGGTAGCTTCTTGACTGCAGGCCCATAAGATAAGTTCGGTGCAAAGGTTGGTCCTGGCAGCTGAATGTCACGACATAGAGTTGGTCGCAGGCGAAGGGAAGGGTGGTAGAGGTTACATCGGGGAATTCGTAAACTGTGGTACTTCCTCTTCTTGCACCATCTAAGTGAAAATCATGGTAAATAAAATATTAAATTAGCATAGTGTAAAGTGCTACTGAACGTAGTTGTCCATGATTCGAGTTCGTGACAAACAATAGCAATAAAAAGGCTGACCTTCGAGGTTTTCCAGTTTAACAAAGTGAATGCCTCCATCCCCAACTTGAACGGCGAGTTCGCCACCGAGTCCATAGACAAGTCCGTTGATAACAGCAGAAGTGGTACCAGCGAGGGAGGCGAGACACCTAAAGTGACCACCGTGTCAGAATTTGGTAATAGAAAATACCCATTAGCAAAGAGAAGTTAACTGAGGTACTAAAGTTAGACGAGGTGGCCGATATTGTCTTGCATGGTAACACCACAATCAAGAAGTCACAGTAGATGTTGGAGTGCATTAGAGTATTTTCCGACTATTGATTCGCTGAATCTGCATCTGCGTTTTTTGTTTTTGTGGTGTCAACTATGCTACTGTTTTAAATTAGTAGGATAGCTACACGCAGTTATTAAAGATTTCGTATTCCTTTACTTTACAATTGAAAAAAAAAGTTTATCTTGAGTTTTACGTCGTAACCACCAAAAGGGGATAATAAAATAAGCTTAAGATCACTCAATTTTGTTTTGAAGTAAACTAACGATAGCAAAAATAGGAAGAACTCAGGAATTGTAAAAATGGGTGGATGGAAGTAATCTAGTGGTATCAAACTTCATGTTTGAACGATACAGACATCTTTAACAAAGTATAAAAACTCACCAGACTTCGAAAGTGACAGATTCATTCAAGATTAATTGGGAGAGCATACCAAGGTGACGCCCGTCCTGAGAGACAAAGCAAAACTTCTTGGGAGAAATCCATGTAACATGCAGCAGTTGACCGCGAAAAATGGAAGAGGCATTTTCATTAGCATAAGCGACTGCGTCCTTTCTAACAAAAAAAAAATGTCAGTTCTCGGGGCGTGTTCTAAGAAATAAACTGAAAACGGCTTACAAAGTAGCAGCGTATTATTCCATTAGACGAGGAAAGCAGGCAAAACAATTTAATCACTCGTAAAATCAACGTGGCCTTAATGAGTAATAGTGAAAAAGTATGATGAACCGAATCCCATGCCGATTTGAAAAGGACAGCCTCCTTATTAACCTATGTATCGACGGATGACAGTACAGAGCCTAACTTCGAGAAGAATTTTGATTCGTCAACTAAAAGAAGCAGTAAAAAGTGGCGGTCTACTGAGCTGAAAAAGTTTGTGTTTTAGAAACTGAAAAAAGCGATAAAAAAAGGAAGTGAAGAACATTGATAAGAGGACATACGAGAATTCAAAGCACAATACAAATAAGCATAAGGTCAGTCAACAAGCCATGTTATCACCTAAATTGCTTACCAACGTTCAGATATATTATCGTACGATTTCACCATGCAAATACTTTCGCTAACGACTTAATAGAACGACTTAAGCGAGGCACCAAGAGTTATAGCAATAGCAGTCTCGTCTTAATTATGCATCCCATTATAACGACATATGTAAGGGAATATGAATGCAACTGACATTTATCGCACAAAAACCTACCTCAGGGCCCACGCGTTGTTGAAAGAAGGAGCACCACTGTGCGCAGCCTGCTGTCTCTTCTGCACTACCTTCAGGTCAGCTGAGGTGAGACATTGAGGACCCCGCCAGTCGGAAACTAGTGCAAGGAGCCAGGGGGCGGCAGCAGAATTGGCAGGCTGGACGAGAAGTGTGACGCCAGCCTCATTGGGCCAGGACGGAGAAAGACTTACCGCGCCCACAGCTGACGGAAAGATAAGGCGGGTGGCACACATAGGTGGCGGGATGGTGGTGTGCGCGAAGGCAGTCAGACCTACGTTACCTTCGAGGAAGTTGAAATAAAATAGCTTCGCGTTATTCCATGCCCTTAAAATTGTCGAAACAACAGTTTGACTACTTTTTGATCAGTTCGCTGTCTATAAAACTAAAAAAAGTATCTCAAGTGCTTCTTTTCATTGTAATTTGGAACTGAGTTATTTGGGACTATAAACCTCTCAAAACGAATGAACATTGAGTGCCGTGGTGTATATGGATGTCTTTTATTCCTATCAAAATGAATTTCGTTGCGGTATATAATTGCATACTCCTCGACGAACTCAATATTATCCAAGTAAGTCGAAAGTTTTACACTACACGCTATAGATGCTAAAGGTGGTGCTTCTAACGCTTAATCTTCAAAATGGGATGACAGTAACTGAGAAGAGATATTGGAAAGAAACCACCATTATTTAAATTTAACATCAAGCAGTGTCACTTACAATTGTCGATGACAGCAACAATAGCAGAGTCTTCGGCGCCAATATGCCAGACGTTTCGATCAATACAGCTGGCGAAAGACCAGGAAGAGAGACAACTGCCTTTGACTCCAATACCGTGAGAGACCGCAGTGTAGAGAGTGACGGTACCAATCTCGCCTGCATTGCTGAAAATCAGCGAGACCCGTTCCACTGGAGCAGACGGAGGAGGATGAGGCCGTGGCAAGAGAGATAGCTCCGCTTTCACGCTCCAGTGATAGTTGGAGGTGGTGTAGAGCCTCACTGCAGTAATCAAGTCAGGAAGATATATATAATGTCAGAACCTGTTTCTAGTAAAGAATTTTCGATACAGCGCAACCTCCCGCTATGATATTACGGAAAAGTTCCACATTCAAAGGCGCGATTAAGCATACGTCATTTTGAAAAATTGAACTTCCGTTATTGCAACTCATCCCTTGTTTCAGAGACCACTATATATGGCACCCTTTCCGCATTCATTTTATAGATCGAATTCAGAGACAACCCTGTGCTTGCTAACAAATACACACAAGGCAGTTCCAAGTTGGATATGTGGAACTGGTCTGCAGAAAAAGATTGCAAGAACCCCAAGATCAAATTTCTTTTATATCCATGTATGGTTCACTTTTCTGGGAGCTAAAAACTGGTTATACTAGTAGGAACAGATAGTCAGTAGCAAGTACTATGACGCTCTGTCAATGCTCATGCCTATGGCAGAGGCGGATAGGAACCGCTCTCAAGATGCAGATTATCCGCTCATGTGAAAATGTGCTTTAAAAAACACATTATCATCTTGCCTGTAATAATAAAAGACGAAAAAACGAATGGCAAGAAACAAAGTGAGGAGACACTCTAATCTTTCTTTCAACCCAGTGGATAAGACAGAAGACACAATCATATTCAATAGCCGAAAACTATATTCAAAGCACAAAAAAGTAATTGCGAAAAGCAAAATGAATGACGTTGATATAAAAGTAAGTGCACCAACAAAGCCGGAACAAAACAACAATTACATGCAAGCAATGCGTTAGTCGGACACCAAATGTTTAGCCTGATGGCTTCCAGTAAATTATGATAAAAGCATTCCCAGAAAAAAATATGGAGAAAAAAGCCATGGATATGCAAAAAGCAAGATGATAAAAACCTTACCAAAGGGAAGATCGGTGTTGCTGACTGAGTCGAGAGGAAGAAAGAGAACTGCCATAATATGCTCCGCTACGTCAAAAGCTGTTTTCCCCACACGGAAGACATCACAATCGGGATATGAAAGCAAGTCAACTTTGCCGTGTTGAAGACCATTCAATTCATAGAAAGCCATTTGTAGACTACCCACACAACGCTTGCTGATGGCTATTAACTGGACCTTCAATCTGAAGGAAAGATGAGTTGTGAACCATCGTACCGCCAGCAGAGACCAGTCTCAAGGCCGATAGTGTCTGTACCGACAGAATGAAGAGCTCCATCAGCATCGAAAATATAAAGTCGACGAACACCGGTCCCTCTTAAATCCGTCCATCCTATCGCAAAATATGCCCCATCTCCGCGCCATGTAATCTCCACAGGTAGTTTGGAAGAGGGAGAAAGGACCTCAACAAATCCATTACGCATAATATTCAGAACCTACCCCCATTCGGACTTCTTTCTCCACTGACTTCTTGACTCCTTTAAATTGAGTTTCCTCCCGACCCCATCCAATACTAACAAGACTAGCTTATCAAGAAATTAATAAAAATTGAAGGATACATTTCCTAGTGCTCAAATCTCCAAGATCAATGGAATTCAGACGTTCCAAGGAAGAATTTATTAGCGTAACACGGTTATCAACTGCAAAGTCTAGCTCTAGATCAGTATTTACCTGTCATTATCACCCCTACATGTAACTGAGGGGAAAAGACACAGTCTTCTAGTGAGACACCGAAAGACTCACATCCTAAAATCTTCAGCGGCTATTGGAGGAACATACTGTCCAAACCTTATTAGGAACTTCACATAGAATAACAGAATCACCGCATTGAACGCATACAAATGGTTCGTTGACGTAAGCTATTTTTGAAACACACTTATCAAGTAAACACGGCAAAAAATCGCCTCCATGTCGTATGCATTTAACACCCGTAGTTGTAGCGATCCACAAATCGGAAAATTTATCAACGCAGATATCATTAATCGACACATCCGGCTCTATATCACATGTATGCGTTATGATCTTGAGATTCCGCATTTTGCCTACAAAGGCAGACAAGTCCTTCAGTGCACAATAGCGCCACGCCGCAACTCATATGTAAACAAAATTGTTCAAAAAAATTTTGCTTATTTGCCATGCCCAAGAATAAAGCCTAAAAACCGTTAAAATTTTTGGACTTAAAAAGAAAAAAACATAATTTTTCTTAAATTGGAAATAAAAATTAGAAATTAAACCCAAGCAGACGTAAACATACATAGCACCCGAAAAGGGTAAAGGGAAAGGATCTGCACAATCAGATTGACGCTTTATTTGGTAAAATAATTTGGAAGCTACGATGGTCAGAGTTTCGGCTGGATTGACAATGCCACCAGGTCTACATAAAGTGGTCGAGTGTAATGCATGCCATCAGCGACCCATCTATTGTAAACACAAAATGATTGTAAAATAGTGCGGGTTTGACTTCGTCTTCGTTTCAAATCCGCCCTGAAGCTCCCTCAGAATACAGCCTGTTCACATCGCCTGAGCTCGGATTCAACAGCTTGGACGCAACTGGGCAATTGAAGGGAACAAAGCAAAAGGGCCCGAGTATGGTCCAAAGGCCGGACCAAATGTTTGAGAGCCAGACAGATGCAAAGGCGACCGCCAAACTTCATGTGTTCACATAAACAAAGTATTACAGACATGGCTTTGACCTAAAATGCTGATTTAAACCCCAACTTAAATTAAATAAAATCAGGTTATGTTTTAACTCGGCCGAAATTCCCGCATATCTCGCATGAAACTTGTGTTGTGGTGACTATGCCACTCTCTTGTAAAATGTAGCCGTTTCTCTGGCTGCACGTCGTTGTGTAGTTACTGAAAGCAGTTACATATGTTTGCAGAAATTTTTCAAGGACGTTTATGTTGAGGTTTTATTTTTTTAATACATGCCCGCTGCTCTCATACACTTGGCTGGGAGTGTTGGATATGTAGGTACTTTGGCGCTTCCTACCAATGAAAGTGCAAACGAAGGTCATGTTGCAGTCCATTTTTTGGCTCTACTTATTGTTTTCGTTAAGTAGGTCAATTTTATTCTCTGCTAATTCCCTTTTGGGAGTTTGTTCATGTAGTTTTGTGGAGCGAATCGCCCTAAAAGTTGTCGGCAGGCCCGGCGACGACGTTATCTTCCCATTATCAACATCAAGCATTGGGTCCCAATTTGTACGTGTGTTTTTAGCTTTTATTTTTTAGAATGTCTCCTATGTATACACCAAACTTGTTCCGACCCAACCTGTTAGTGCTTGTTCTCGGATCTCAAACGCCAATGATGTTCAAAACGGAATCGCTTTTGTAATCAGAGGGTTTGACTCCAGCGTAAATTATTGCCACGTAATCTAGTGGTTGTAGTTTTGTGACGAAGGCCAGTTTTGCACAAGCTGCCGGTGCCGTTGCTTTCATCTCTTATGACTACCAAAACAACTCTGCTAGGATTCTGAATATGTTACCTGACGAATCTTCGACTAAAGTCTGGATTCCTTGTGCCTTCATGCAGGGTAGTCACGCGTAAGGCGTCACGTGCGAACATATCATCTGGAATTAGTTGTGCGCTTATCCGTTCTAGGGTATCTTAATTGCATTCTTCCCGAGCTAGCTATATCAATGCTCGTTCTCAGACATTTTATATTATTGTATAAAGCAAAAAGACCACCTCTTTGTCCATTCAAACGAGCTAACTTTCCATATTTTCTGCTTTTCAGCCAACATCTACTGGAATTGATGGAATTGGACAATAAAACCTATTTAGACGTAGACTTCCCAGTAGATCGTACGGGCGCTCTTATTATCTTGGATAAGTACTCGCCTATGCGATTGCGTTGACTTAACTCCCTGATGCTTTCCTTTGGGTTCTCTCGTTCAAACGGTTTTTGTATGCATATGTATAGACTTTCTCTACCACTGATGTTAGAATATTCCTGTTAGCCTTTTGCTGTACAGTTTGGTGCCAGAAGTGCTGCTGACACTAACAATGCCTCCGTATTTAAGCTGGAAAATTGGGACTGTTCCAAGGTGCAATCGGCAGGGCTAGGACCGCAACGCAGTAAACCCTTCCCATTCATTTCGAATTCTCCTATTCAACGAAGGGCTCGTACGAAACGCCGTCCGATGTTCACTTTGTGTTCTGGTAATGCGAAGTGATTGAGTGGTAAATCTCTAAATTGGGTTACGACTACGACGGTTCACCAATTGCGGATCGTAAGCCACTCCGAGTCTCGTGTGGGTCCTGACGCGAGTTCAAATGCGGCAGGGTTGCCTGCGCTAAACTGCGACACAAACGGGCGGATCTACAGACTGAGCAGGCGTGGTGCATCACTCAACGGAGAGGTGGTATTAACCAGTGAATTTACAGTGAGGACGGTGAGAGAGGGTTAGCCAAGGGAGAGAAGGCCGGTTTGGGAATTCCATGGTCGGGTGTGAGGTCTGCCTCTTTACTCGTGTCGGTTTATATTGACAGCGTGTAACCTTCCATACGGAGTAGGCTGTAGCATCCGTCTAACGTCTAGGTGTGGCACGCCTCCCGTCCGTGGATGAGCCGTCACAATAAGCACAAACCCCATCTTACAACGTGTTAAAACATGCAAAATACTTTAAGGAGGCTAAGGTGCAGCTGTTACTTTTGTTAGTTTCGGGCTTCAAGGAGTTCAGACAGAGATCCTACATTTGCGCCAAATCAGATTATTGAAGAGATATCAGGAAATCAGTCGATTATTAGATATCTTTTTCTAAAATGTACTTAATTACCAATGCCTTGAGGTTTTTACACTTACGTACATATTGATTCGGCGGAGATAGACATCAAATGCAGAAATGGATTGGCCCGAAAGGCAGCCTACGCGCACAAGGGCAAAATGACAACAAAAGAATCAGCTATTAAGTGGTCACATAAAGTATTACATCTGTAACTTAATGTATTTTGTGGTTAATATCAAAAAGTGAGCAGCACTACTTTATGAGCCCTATAATTAGTGCATTTATCATGTTCTATACAGTTAGATAATTTTAAGGCTTGCTTTTTTGCATAAATAACAGCTACTTCATGACAAACCTCACCTAGGCTTTGTGGCTAATGCCCACAGAATTTCTCTAGGTCAAATTTTAGGTTGATCTTCCAAGCTTGAATCTGGGCTATCGTCTCATTTCAAGCCGTTTTCCGGCGCATTGAGTTTCCCCTGGTGCATTCTTTTCTTACTTGATACCTTGGCGCTTAATCCAGGATTTGAAGCCAAATCTGTAGGCTATTTCACTATCCCATAAATGTTTAATTATGGACTCTTGAACGTAAGGCTGTCGCGATTGTAGCCTTACTGGTAATAGAGTTGTAAACGCCTCTAAGTCTCACTCTAATGTTTGACATGTTTTCTTATTCGTATTTTTACCCTTGTATCGTCTCCTCTTAAGCTCCCTGGTATTGAGCTCTCGGGAGCAATTCTTGTTTCGGGCTACATTTACAGTTAATGTGCAATATGGGCCCCGAATGTGGCTGAATGCGATTTATGTAGTAGTTTGTTCCAACTAGTTTCTGCATAATCCCTACGAACCTTCGTGCAGAATGCATATTATTTCTTTTGCTAAAACCTTGCTTAACTGTAATGTTTATTGTTGCAGCATTAGAACCACACGTCCTTAGATAATGTCCTGTCACCAATGCGCCAAAAAACTTCCTTTCAGCGCCCAGAAGGTATAGGCTATAAGTCCATCGTCCACCTTTATCTACTCTATCCCTTCAGGTGGCTTGTCCATTGTGCAATTTTATAACGTGCAAAAAGTGTCTGGCTCATGGGTTGCCTAGAAATGGCGGCAAAACCAAGGTCTGCCTTCAGTGTTATGAAAGAGTTACCAGGTGATTGTTTTTTGCCTTTACACAGAGTGCCTCTTTGTAGCAACTTGTCCGAAAGTGATCCTCGTGAAGCTGACCCTCCTGTAAACTACTTAAGGTAGATTACAATTCCATGTCCCTGTGATGTGTTTCGTTCCTTAGACGAATGGAGGCGCAAAAACGTAAACAGCCTGACCGACCATGTCTTTCGTTGCAAGAGAAAGCAGTTGTAAACGATGGTAAGCTGTGTAATTTCTTTTGTTTTGCGCAAGTGGTTTTAATTATTATTTCCATTTTCAATCTTATGCTTTAAGCCGACAAGCTGACACAACGGCTGAACGCCTTGACTGCAGAGGAGGTAAGGTTCTTAACTGGACTCGGCATATCTACTAGGGTTTGTTCTCTGAATCCAATTCGTCTTGGTGTTTGGGAAGAAACCTACCGTTCATTTTTTTCATTTAGACATCGAACTAATTAAGAACATCTGTATCCTTTTTCTCACGTGAAAATGTTCATATTGAATAGAATGATTTGCAGTATTTATCTCCTTAAGACTTTGTAGTCTTCAACGCAGAAAAACTTGAGGATGCATAGGGTTAAATGAACACCAAATCAGTCTATTCAAAACGTGTCTTGTGCTGATAAACGCTCTCAACACCCACAAGCAGAGCATACTTATATCACGTGAATGAGGCTCTGTATTCGAAGAAAAGGCGACGAATGTACTAAATATCTGTATTCGGCTCGAAGACGCCTTTTTAAGTATTTGACACATATTTTAAGCGCTCGAACCTTCCAACGGAAGCGGAATTGCAATCAAGAGTGGACGCTTTGAATGAATTCCTCCTAACTCACAAGCTTCGAACTATATCCACTCAGCCGACAGAATCTGATCAGAATGCGGTGAAGAATCTCGTGGACCAGGTACGTTTATAATTAACTTTTCGATACACTTGCTTTGCGGTTTAGCAATACATCTTTTTTATCGATTTATCACATTATTATTCAAGGTCGGAGTTTCGTGATTTCAATTTCGCTTTCGCCGAATATACGTCTGTACTTTGTCTTGATTTGAACATTAATCAAGTGCTGTGGACACTCTTACACGGGAATACGCAATTTTGTCTATCTATTGGGAGGAATATTCTCGTGCCTCAGAAATGGGACATTATTTTGAGGTTAAAAATTGTAGGGAGACTGATTCATGTGTTTTTTGCCACTTAACTTACATTTTGTGACATAGATAATGTCTAGGATTTGTTAACATTTGGAAGTATCAGGAAGTGCATTATTTAGTTGTGCTAGCCCCAATCCTCGAGGCCCACGATCTTGCCCTTATGCATTTCGAAAGCTACTCACGGTAATGCATTTTGGTTGTTTTACTCCCTTGTTTTCCTAAGACAGCCACTTAACGGGTGTGTAATGTATTACACCCACAAGATGCCAGGAGAGTTGTACCGCTTTGTGTCTGCCAATGACCTTCAGTACTGCTAGAGTTAAAGTTAAGCTAGAAGCTGAAAATACTTAAATGGATTGCCTGTCTTTGTTTATTTATTCACTAGGCTTTATCGCTTTGCCTTACCATTCACATAATGCATCTTCCTATGCAAGAACGTCATGACCCCCTTTTCATTGTCTGCATGCGTAATTTCAGTGCATTTTCAACTTCTAAGGCTACTATGGTCTGCCATGTTGTCTGAACCGAAAAACTTGGCTTTCATCAACAACTACGCCATCTGCTGCTTGTTCCGTTGCCGTACTTTCTGCTTTAATGAAACTGTATTTTAAATTGCTCCAACGCATTGTTAAACTTACTAGACTTGCCACATCTCTTGTCAACCGTGCCATTGTGCGAATATGCACATTAAGTCTAAGAAGCACCACTCATTGGCATCCGTCTCCAATCGAAGCCAGTTGATGGACAAATTTTTGCAGCTTGCGTAGCTGGTTAATGCTAGATCTTAACAACTATGTCTTAACATTGGTTATGCTGATAGGCATTCGCACCTCCACCGTTAGGTACAAGATGAAGCTCGTCTATCTGCAGTTCATGGCGGGTCACCGGAAGCAAATGCCTCGACTTCCAATGTTGAACGAGTTTATTGCTCTTTGTGTGACAATTTGGCCAGCATTCAGTGTCCCGCATGTATGGACCAAGAGTACTGTAAATACTGCTTCCAGTAAGTAGCGACTGTCTTTATTTTACCATAAATATTATCTGATAATTGCTAGTCTCATCTTTTACAGACGCGCCCATAAATCGAGACACATGCGCCAACACGAAGGGATACCCATTTCAAAACCAAACAAGAATTAGGTTGCCTGACATTCAAATTATTACTGTTATTACTGTTGAGTTTATCCCCAAAACCGGGTGTACTTTTTATTTTGTGGCATGAAAACTTCATTCAGACGTGCTTACAGGTGCTTAAATCTGGCCTGTTTTCTTCCTGCTGATCCCTTTCTACATGTGCTTTTGGAAAGCCTGGAATGTGTTGGTAGGTACTGGAGAGGTGATCAAGCCCCCTTTGCCTGAGAATGAAATTTGAAGTGAGAAGAAATAAATAATCTTACGCCTCATCCAAAAAGACCTCTTTCGTGATAGCATTCTGACCAACTCCGCGAGGCATTATATCGAACTCGCTGATACCGAGAGTCTCCAAGCCATGTTTGTATTGTTCGTACGTGATGTAGCCCCGCATATTTGGATCCAACATGTAGAATATGGATTCGGCATTTGCCAAGGTAAAGATAAAGGGATTATCACCACGTCCGTGTTGAGCTGCCTTTAATCGCTCCAATATTGAGACCATATAACTTAATGGATTTTCTAAAGAAAGACATCATATCACACAAACAGCGAGTCTGAAAATCGCCGTCGTTATAATAACTGACGTTGGTGAACACTGGCGGAGTGACCAGTACAGTTATGCGAGATGGAGTTGGGAGTTGAGAACTATCTAATTAGGGTGAAATTACCTGGTTTATTAAATATAACTAAGCTGGTGAGGTTGTGCAACAATTCGGGGATGCGCTTCTCACTGAGGTATCGCTCTGCCTCGATAAATTTTGGACAGTTCTGGTAGTTCGACATCAAGCGTTGCCATGATGTTCTATGTACACGATCCCAAGTCAACCTAAAGTGCAATGAGAAGTCCATCGTTTTAGCTATAAATTTTACATTTTTTAAATTAATTTTTAATTTCTTATTGTTTTAAAAATTTTAAATGACCTTTATTTGTTTAATTGGACAATTAAGTTTATAAGGTTTAGGCAAAGATTTTCGCTCGTTATGCGGTTTCCGTTAGGACGTCGAGTCGTGTCCCTAAGTGATATTTATACCCACAAAAAAATCATGCCAGATCATAAGCTTCGCTTTAAATCACAGGACTTGGCTTTGAGTAATCTGATTGAAACTTCTCAAGTTCTATTGGACGAGAGAACCAGTGCCAAGCGTTTCCGACAGCTTTACTCGCATCTGAAGTTCGCGCACACACAATTACAGGTAGGTTATTTTTCCTGGAAAGTAAGGCTTTTTAGGTTAATTATTTAAGTTTGGGTTATTAAAATGGAAGTAGTCTTAATTGAATTTGTAACTTGGGTTTTAATTTTAAATACTACCTGAATGCACTTATGATATTCGTTCTAAATTTTGTTCGAAAGAAGTCGTACACTGAGCTGGAGTTGCGGTATTCTAATTCATTGCATGAGTGGATGAAAGAGAAGGAATCAATGAACATTAAACTGGCTAGTATTTTGGCAGAGAAACGTGAGCTTGAGTTGCTATGCGCTGAACTTCAAAAAAGTGCGCTCTCACCCGAGACTCTTGAGCTTATAAAGTGCGAGGTATGTTAATTAACAGATATAATGTTAATTGATTGCAGAATATCTATGCTACGTTTATTTAAGGTTAAGAATGCGTTAATGAAGAAGTCAGAGGAGGAACTTATCAAAGCTACCGAAGAGGTTAACTTTGTGAAATCTGGGTACCTCAATGCTACAAAAAAACTTGAGACGCTAAAGGTTGATTACGATCGACTTTTGGTTGGTTCACAGGCTGTTCGGGAAGAGGAAGCTCTTAGAGAAATAGAGGTTCGATTTAAATATGGCACTTATTTTATTTACTGACCATCTATTTTTAACATTTTATTTGTTTCTAAGCACTTTTCTCCTACGTACAGGTAGTGGTGCTAGACTGACTCAAAAGACGACTAGTGGACTGTTTAATGCGTCAATTAAAAGTTTGAAGCGTTTAGGGACTTATATTCAAGCATGAATTAATTTCGGAATTTCAGTTACCTGGTTTATGTCATTATTAAGTTTTATCCTAAACGTTGGAAAGTCTTCTTCAAAAGCACGGCTTTTTAAAGTTAACACAAATCTCTTTAATTAAAGTAACATGTATTTTACCACGAATCTTCTGTTTCACGAAAAGCTTAAGTACTGTCTACTAATCTACTGTCTTATTTGTAAGTTAGTACATGGTAGGAGTTTAAAAATATTTTCTTTTATAAAAAATTAAGCATAAACATATGGCTGAGTCTCAAGAAGAGGTCATAAATCGTCTCTCGTCTCTTCTCTCGTCGGATACGGAAACACTTGCTGCTCTGTATCGCGAAAACTCACAAATTTCTGCACAGTACCAGATCATTGTTGGTGAAGCAGAGAAGTCAAAACGTCTTTATGATACACAGATGTGAGTTGCTTCACATTCTCCTTTCTAAGTGTAACAAAGGTGTGAACTAAAAAATGAACTAATTCGAGCCATAGAAGGACTAGCGGCAGCAAAGGCTGATAGGGCAACTCTGGTGGCAAAATGCGAATCCTTGAATGGAGAGGTAAGTGCAACCTATGTCAAAGTTTCAAAATACATTATTCTGCTTTTAGATGGAAGTGCTTGCAAAAAACCTGGCCAGCACTAGGACTGACTTGAGAGCTGCCCGTCAGCGCGTGATAGACTGTGAGCGGGCAAGACTGAGTCTGGAAAAGGACCTCGAGGCACGAGTGCATTGCTTAAGGTCGGAGTTAAGTAGCTTCCGGTTGACAGCTCAGAGGGAAAGAGTGGAAATAGAACGCCAGCGTGATCATTTGGCTTTTCAGGTTCAAGGCACGCGTGAGCCATTTCATTGGTCACAATGAACAATTTTTCATTTTCAGTCCCTTAAAACGCTTGGATTAATATATCTAGAAAGACTGCTTAACAGGTTGGATTAGAAATCTCAATCGATGGGCCGTATGTTCACAGTTTGGTCATCTTTTCGAGTTGTGGATGGAAATCTTTAAAAGACATATCTATTTGGCGATGTGTGTATGGTGGTGGATTTTCAATTTTCACGGCGTCTTCACATACGTGTTGGTTCTATACACAGATGGACTCAATAATCGTATTATTTATTCTCTATACCAAAGGGCTTTATATTCAGCACTAATAATCAAACTCATGTTGCTTTTCCCTGATATGAAGATTACATGAGTGTTTTCCACCTGTCTTTGTCATTAGACTCATGATTTTAAAGCGAATTTCAAAACACTTAATATCAGACCTCACGAGCCAGATGGCTCTAGCGTTGGCCAAATTTGAAGAGGTTGAGATGTTGTATCAACAGCGGGAGCAGGAAATGTCACAACGGGAGTCAGATCTTCGAAAGACTGTGGTTGATTCCACTGAAGAGTCGAGAAATCGTTCTGCAGAGATACTCCACCAACTGGAATGCACGCAATCGCGATTGCGCGAATTAGCAGCTCAACACGAAGAAGTAACACAGGCCTTGGCTGAGGTAAGAATCTCCACTCACCTGTGTGATTTGAGTACTTTACCTAAACGAAATTTTAGGGATAATTACATTACTTCTACTTATTATCTCATTTAATTGAACATACACATTGATCCGGGGTCTAACAATAAATTCGAAGTCTTTACGCTTGCAATAGGACTGGACATTGTGATTATTTCCGAGGGTAGTGTAGACCGAGTGGTTATAAGCTGGTATATCATCATTCTTCAGTTGCATTTCGTTTGCCCATTTCTTTTTTGCATTTATGGCATTATCCACTCTGTGCAGGGCGCATAAGTCGTGGTCGGTGTTGCTAATATCTAAAGCTGTGACCGCTCAGCAACGTGTAAAAAATTAAAGGCATTCCCAGAATTGTGCCATAGTGATTTAGATGCTTGAAGTTTTCCCAAAGTTAGGGTAATTTGCTTTGACTGTATTTTTGCTCGACGGATTTCAGGTAAGCTCCAATAAGGCTGCTCTGCACAGCTAGTTAAGACAAGTTTTCCTTAAGGCACAGGAACGAGTTGGAAACTTACCTCAAAAGATGCGTAATGCATTTACGTTAATCATTTACACACAATCATTGTTTTAGTCAGAAACATTGAAGTTTGAGATTCAGAAGAAGCTTTCTTTAAGCGAGGCGCAAAACTCTGCTTTGAAGGACGAGCTGTCGGTGGCTAGGAATGAGCTTAAAGTCCGGCAAAGCCAAATCCAAAATCTGGAATGTGTGCTGAATGAATTCACATCTACGGAGGATCGCTTCCCCGAAAAGGTAAGGTATTTGTTGGGGATTAATTGCGATACTAGGAGGAAGGTGATGTTGGCGGCCAAACCGGCGAAATGGTAGGTGTTAGAGAGGCATACAAGAAGCTGCTGGAAAAATTCAGATCAGTGAGTAAGGCGCCATAGAACTCGTACCTTAATGATAAGCATTTATTTTAATCGAAATTCATGCAGCAAAGGACTAAGTTAACCGAAAAAATTCGCCAACTTGATGCTGAACTCATTGCGAAGAGCTACGAAGCCGAACGAAATCGCCAAGAAAATGAGAAACTGCGGTGAGCTTTGAGTGTAACATGAGCAGACACTTTCCACTTAGAGTAACTCAAACGTTCGTGATCTGCATTTGCATAAAAAGAAATTGTGTGCCGCAAGCGGAATACCAAAGGGTTAAGTCTCAGCTGAAGGAATTTCAACGACGGAAGGAAAGTTACTGGTTTCTTCTCCATCAATCTGATCAGGTCTTATCGAATCACTCGGACTAGGCCTCTGGCTGTATGACTCAAGCTGTATTTCCTAATAAGTAGTTGGAATATGAATCCCATAATTAACATCCTTGCTTTTATATTTTAATGGGATCTAAAATCATAAACACTTTGTGGGTTTTGTAGCGTCCTGAGACTTCTAATCGGGTGAAATAAGGCAGTAGGTGAGGCTATGTACATGTATTCCAAAGAGAACAAAGCAACCAGGTTCGAGCATGGCTCAAGGGTCAGCTCACGAGTGCAAGGACCGGACGAAATTCGAAGTAACCGTCGGACTCCAAGTATTCACATAAACGAAGCATTACAGGCTACTATAAATAATTTTAGTAAATAACAGTTAGCACTAACTTACATCGGAGCTGTGTTGCGGTGTCGAAGTTTACCAAACGACCGAATATTAATTCGAAATGGGTGTGAGATGGTCTAGTCTCCAATTCACTTTTAGGCACTGGCCTAATGGATGGCAATTAAAATAAGTCAACAAACTCTCAAGAGGAAAGACTCAAACATTTATCGGAAAGCATTTTCAAAACTTCAGTTACGTTACAGTTATGAAGTATGAGTCTATTAGATTTTACTATCCAATGTCATTGACCAGTTACGCTTATCTAAAATAAAGATTCTTTTTAGACATCCCGATACATTAGCGTAGGTATAAGGTCACAATCGTATTGGATACTAGGCAGTCACAAGGTAAACTCGTTGACCTGTTTTGTGTTAGTTGACGTTGGCGTCGATACCTACGGAGTCAGTAGTTGATAGTGTTCCTGATCTGGTTGTTTCCAACTACGAACTTTTGTATTGGTCCACCTCTTACCCTAAGTATACCGCGAAATTTACTATTGAACGTATTGGTGCCGATTTCTGCTCTTTGCAATGCATCACAAATTGAACTGCATGTTGATGTCCTTTGCTTTTTATTCAGTTATGGTCACTTAGGTTCTTTTTCCCGTTTTCAGCCTTACGATGATAAAATCGCTGTTGATTGAGCAGAAGTTTTACGACCGTTGTCTTTCTCAGAAGTCTACAAACTACGGCTTAATAATTAGTGGAGTGAGCTTCCATCGATTGGCTAATTTGTTTTGTTCCAGGCTGTCAAGGAGGACGAGTGCATTTTCCTCCTTCTTACATCCATTGCGAAAGATCTCACTACAATCGATAGCATTGACGCATCGGAATTGAAGCTCGATTGCCAAAAAATTTGCCGTATGCTTCCAGCCGGTTCAAGAGTATCCGGTGTCTACTACTGTGGATCGCTTAGTTTTAGCAAATCAAGTGCACGGATTAAAGAAGTAGTTGTTTTTTAAGGTTGTTATTGTGTAGATCTTGAAGGTTATTCATTTAGCGGAAAAACATCCTCTTACAGACAAATTCGTCCCACTAACCGATCGTGATAAAGTTTTCCTTCATATGGATCCTATCACTAAGAGGTACATTCGTGATTCCTTCACATCTAGCCTACTGATCTTAGTTTCATAGCCAAAGCGATTGGCTTTGAACACCCAAAGGATTTTTTGCGACCTGTTGATGTGAAAGTCCGACAGGTGATGGATCGATGGAGGGCCATCAAGACCTACGTTAACTTGAGTTTAGAAGCCTACCTTCCAGCCGAGCGACAGAAGGAGAAAATTCTCCAGCAGCTGGAAGAGGCTGCTATCCCTTTCTTAGAGACCGTTACTAGCAAAGCTCGACTTCTCGTCGATGGCGACTTGAGAGATGAATCGGATCTCATTTTTCGCCAAAGATCCACCGCTAAAACTCCTCGTCAGTCCAAGCGTCATAAAGTAGCAAAGGCGGAGTTGGATAGTTTTTCCGAGGCGGCGCAGAATCTCTCGAACAATTGGGATTCTTCAACTTTCGCCTTGTTTGGACCTGATGTGGGTAGCGCCTGTATTTTGCACCGTCCACTCTTATTTAAAGTATATTGCGACATCAAAGCCGATCAGCTGTTTTGGTTTGCGAGACTCCAGTGCTTCCGGTCATAGTGGTTTAGTTCAGTGCATCACGTCATGGATATTTGAATGGCCCAAAAATGGATATGTGCTGTTACAACCACTTACACAGGCCTGGTGTCATGTTCTTGACAGTTAAAATTTATAACTGCAGGTAAATTAAGCTTCCATTGCATGACAGTCTTTTGCGTGTCTGCGTATCAAGGTTTTAAGGGTTTTCAGGCGTCTATTATGAAATCAAGTCCAAATTATTGCTGCCTGTGGTTTATTATGGATTCGCTGAACTCCCTCCATTCCAAACCAAGTGATTTTTTAATGCAACTATGTTTAAAAGGGAGAAATAATCACTGAGTCTTGGAAAAAAAGCAGTATATACATTTTTGCGTCACCATGCGATTCCCTTTTGTTATTGTTGCTTTGTTATTTCCCTATCATACCGACTGTTATCCAACCAGGTGTCACAGACTTCAGACTTTCTCCCAGAGCAGCGATTTTTGATAAGTACCACCTTTTGGCTAAGTGCACATTCAATATATTGAGCGTCTTCTTATGGGTCGGGCTATTGGTTCAATTTGCACAAACGCCGATGGTTCTCATCAAGGCAAACTTCTTTGATGTGTCTGCGAAACAACAACACTGGGAGTTTTTCACTTCTTTAAATAGTTTCTCTCATGGAAACGAACCAACTCCAATTCATCGATTGACTCGGGACACTGCTCGGATGCCTTTGCAATGCCCATCGACAGCTCTCCGCGCCCAGAAGGTGACAAAAGCCTTACTATTCATGGTCGGATTCCTGGCCTCGCCTTTCTCCCCGTTGATGGTACAACTGTTGCTGATGCTCTCAAGGTAGCCTTGATCCTATCCTAATCTATTGGTATAGTTTGGAACCCTTTTTCACGGGTTGGGATCTCTTGCACGCTTACTGGGCGTAAAAATTTCTGATAACTTAGATGCCGCCTCCTCAATGTCGCAGCTCTTCTTGCAATGCGTTATGCAGCACTGTACTTCGTTAATGCGGCTTTAGCCCTTCCTTCTGGTCCTGGTACAAATGTTTGCAAAATTTTTGGTCAGAAACCAAGGGTAAATGCAAATGGACCGTTTATTTCTGTTTGAAGACGTTCCAAAATGTGTTGATCTAATGGGAACGTTTGGGAAAATGGTGGATCGTTCGACTTCTTTGATGGGTTCCACTTTGATTCCTCCACTTTTTTTAAATAAAATTGTTTTTACTTATTTGATTCACTCTTTATCCCTCCAGGCCTTTCAACGAGATCTAACACACAGCATTCTGGTGCGTCTGGAACTCCTCACAGAAGAACTGCAAATAAGCAGTGGCGAAGTGGAGTGTAAGGCAGTTCTCTTTCTCATTACTTTGTGGCATCATTTTACACAATGAATTTTGTTCGAAACTCCACAGTTGTAGCCTTTAGAGGCCGGTGTGCTAGGTTGGCAGCGTCATTTAAAAATTGCACACAATTCACAGCTGGTGGCTATTTTTACATCTCACCGTTGTGTCATGTGTTCTTTTCCCAAAATTATTGCTGAAAATGAGTCTGAAGTCATATGTTTAAATTTACTGTTATTAAGCATAAGAATTTTTCGTTCTATATTGAAGAAATGTGAGGCTTATGGAATTTGGATTAGTTTTGATTGGCATATGCATGTGAGTATGCACATCTGTGTAGTTTTCGACGGTACTAAAGGCAGGGGTCAAGTATAATATGCAAAAAATGACTGCGTTGCCCTCCTAGTGCCTTTGTGATTGACTCTAAATACCGGGAACCGCGGACTTGGACAAAAAATCAGTAGCATTGTAGATCATGTAAAACAGCATTTAACATCAATGTCGGTACAGGTTCGCGAGCCGGGGCTCGTTAGTCCTTAAAGCTGTCAATTTTGGCAAAGGAAAGCAATGTAATTTTCCAATTTAGATTCTCATATCATTTTTATTTGCCGTATTCAAGGAGGTTTTCGTTGTTTTTTTTGTTTAAGGAAGTGAAGACGACTTTTCTCAATGTTGCAAATCCTCAATGCATCTTGCATTGTTTTGTTAATTTTTCAAATCAACTGCTGGCAATTATTTTTGGCTGTTTTTGTACCGAACAGTAAATGAAAATGGTTTGGTTGCGGAAGCAGTGACGTATAGTGTGTGCTACTTTGCAACACGTTGACTCAACATTGAAGTGTTGGCTTTCACTACGTCGCGTTGAAAGCCATTCTACTCTTTCTGTTTAAATTTTATAACGTGAGGTCATAGCTTCTGCAGTATGTTTGATCTTGCGTAGTCTTTCACGGTGGACAGTCTGGTTGAGCTCAGCAACAAATTCAGTGCTTAGGTAAGGACTTGACAACCGACCGCAATCCTATTCCCTATAGTGAATCATCGCAAATCATAAATCAGTCCTCTTAGAGGCTGCTCTGGCCCAATCGCATGTTTACACCATGATAAACATAAATAGAAGCTAGGATAAGTCTATCGTGACCATACGTAAGCAGTGTTAATTTCATGTTTGCATCTGGTGTGATTATTGCCTTATTTTTCTTCGGCCACATAGGCGGTCGCATCCTCCTGCCTTCACGTGTGCTAGTGCGTATTCCTGCATGTCCGGCTTTTCCACTATCGGACTATAAGTTTGTCTCTGAGACTCCTGACGACGTGGTTCGTCGAGTTGCGCTCTTTTGTCGTCCTCTTGGGAGCGCCAACCCACCTGCCTTTATGCCAGCTAGTGGCGGCATCAGTAGCGGCGATCGTCTCTCTGCTGCCGATAGCGGTGAGTGCTCCTCTGACTCAGAGTTCAATGCCACTGATGTTGATGTCGAAGATGACGCAATGGGGACCGAAGAGGTGGTTATCTTGTCCCTGGACAATGCCGACCAGGTGGACGGGAACGAAGATGAACCCGTCTTTGACGTTGCGTGCTTGGACACCGAACTGGAACGGACTTTTGATGGTGGTAACTTGTGTTCATTCTTTTTAAAATTCATCGCGATGTCTGATTTATTTGAGGTGTTTTAAGTGAAATTTTTCCACTGCTTCTCTTGACATCTAGTTTATCTATTCGCATTTGAGTAATCTTTACTTCCCGCTCATAGTGCATTTTCATGGATCTTGTTTGCACGCTGTTTTTCCTGCAATTGGGCGGGTGATTTGATGCGTCAACGAAGGGTCTGGGGAGAAGAAAGTCAGCTGTTCCCAATCTTTAAATTATCATTCCATTTTTAACGCTGTTCCCTA